TTATCTTGAATTCGTTGAGTTTGTCAGTATTTCGAAAGAAGGCTGTATTGAACCTTTGTACTGCTATTTCCCCAACTGTCCAGTATTTCTTTAGCTTCAGTTTCGTGTTGGCAACTACCAGTTGGTGGAGATCTGAAGCTTTGTCGGCTCCTGTCCTAGTTCTTACGTCTTCCACTGTCCTTCTGAAGTTTTCATTGACATACCTATGATCTATCTGGTTCTCTGTGGTGTGATCCCGTGAGACCCATGTAGCTAGTTTGTGTATGGGTTTGTGTGGGAATATTGTCCCACCGATAACCAAGTTGTTGAACGCACATAGATTTGCAAATCTTTCAACATTTTCATTCGTTTCTCCCAGTCAATTCATGTTGTCCCATGATATCTTCATAACCGTTGTTGTCCATTGCGACTTTGGAGCTTAGATCTCCCGTCAGGATTAACAGGTCCTCTCCTGAGTACTTCGTTAACGTCGACTGCATTTTCTTGTAAAACTTGTCTTTATCGTTGTCGTTGCTATCATTGGTGGGTGCATAACTTTGGATAATATTCATTGTAATCCCCTCCTTCTTTGTTTTGAATGATGCTTTGGTGATCCTGGATCCATGAGATTCCAATCCTATAGGTGCATTACGCGCTTCTTTAGATAGTATCAGAACAACTCCTTAATGTATGGAACATTTTCTTCTTTGTCACCAGAATACAGCAGCATATCTCCCGAATCTAGTTTTTTCTGTCTGGCTTAGGTGAGTCCAGTGCGTTTCACTGATTCCGAGTACTGCCGAGTTGAATTTCCTCATTTCCGTAGCTGTTTGGTTGGTCCTCCCCGTCTCCCACATTGTCCGAACATTCAGTGTACATATATTAATTGTTGCTTTAATTGCTCTGTGGGTAATAGGTCTCGTGACTTCACCAATGATTTCAATCTATGATCCATCAGATTTTTTAAAATATGTTTGAAAAATGAATAATCTGACCCATCATTTAGATTTTATTGAAAGTTGTAATGATACCCGGAAATTTTAATTGATTGTTTTTTGCCTCTACGACTATATCTAGTTTATCGCCAAATGATGCTTTAGTCACTCCGTTTATTAATTTTTTTTATAACACTAGATTTGAGTAGGTTCTAATGGGATCGGGTATTTTTTCTGGTGGAATAAAGGAACAGACAAAAGCTTCTATTGACGTTTGTTAAATCATCATCAAAACTTACAAGTACATATCTGAATAAATGAATAATGTAGCGTTATTTACCGTACATATTTTCTATTTAATTTTCCCTAAACACAAAAGCACGTTATAATCATAATATCGCATATTAATTTGAAGGGACATAGTAATATATTATCTTCATATAAAAGATATTGAATTATAACTTGTAACAAAATAAAATTGTAGAGTGAATAATTTCCATTTTCATAATAGGAAATGTTTCATTTTGAGCGTTTTCCCTCTGCTGTCGTACTCTTAACCTTACTCTCAATAAAAACGATTGGAAATAAACGTCTGAAGTATGGGATGAGCAATAGTAATAGTGTAGTGAAAACTCAGGTGCATTATACTGATTTGTTGTTTCATGCAAACTTTCACAATGCCTTTGTAAAATATAAAAATCATATATTAAGTACATCATTTGCGCATTTTTCTTGAGCTGTCCTTTACATACTCCATCATTTTTCCAATTCTGTTGTTATTCTGACTGCTCTCCATTTCTTTCCTGTTCTCTTTATTTCAATCATCTGCTGGTAGCCATTCCACTTTATATTCCTGCCATATACTACTTATAACTAGCGCACACCACACTAGTAGTAGTAACATAAGTGGTACGGCTGAGGGTGGGGAGAGTCAGCTTTCTCGAAATGCTCTCACATGGCCGCATGCATATAACCACTGCCAGGGAAGTTCCTCTCACTTCATCCTCGCGGTGGGGGTGTTGCTTACGAAATTGAAAGGACGAAAAGCGAATGTACGACGTTTTGACCGGGTTGGTAGATATGGAGGATCCAACTAGGGGAGTTGGAAAACTCTGATTCCAAACCAATGATGCACATGAACTCCAGTATCCTGAAGGAACATATGGCGTACGAACCAATCATTGTTCACCGGTTACCATGGGACCGCATCTTTTGAAGTCGCTCCACTGTGTTGTGGATCAAGCCTTGAGGTCGAAGACTCCGGTTGTAGCCCCTTTAGTAAACCACCTGCCTTGGTTTGAGCAGCTGAGCAGTATCATAGCCCACACCCAAATCAAGTGACTTGTGTGGCGCATATGTGTTTGGTGCCCCTTTATTCTAATATTTTTGTGTTCAAATAAATAAATAAATAAAACCTAAGTATAAAAAATATTGTCAGTCAATGATGCAGCCAAATGGAAAGATTCATATCACTTAAAATGAAAAGACCATCATAAACATATTTTTACAAAAGTTCTGTTCAAGTTTGAAGAACAAATATTTATACTAAATGATATTGAAAATTAATCAATATTTAAAGGAAATCTGTAACATATAGAAATATATGTTTTAGGGCTTCGAATTTCCTGTTGCCAATATAAAGGATTTTAATTAAACAGTCCACATTGGTTGATATTCATCCCTAATGAATAATCTTGGGACAATTTTGCTTAGTACATTTGAATTGTGACTAAAAATAGAATACTGTACATGTGTTTTATCTGATTTATGACTCATCAATTGATATGCAGATTCAGTTAATGAGTCATACATTCAAGAAATAGTTGAATTCAATTAAAATTTAACAGACAAACGTATATAACTTTTCAATAGACAATATTGACAAAATAAATCAATAAATGAATAATGTTCGTAATTTTTCTACATGATAAACAAACGATATCAATAATCAGTTTGATATTATTTATAAGAATTTTAAGAATAGAAAACCTAACGAATAAATTTCAAATGATCCCATTTTCTTTTTAACCTATACAACGAAATTATGTTTCATAGATGTTAAACGTTTCTGAAACTTGATACACTATAAGTTTAATTAGAAGATGATTTGTTTGTTATAAAGTGCTCTCCCTCTCGAAATGCTCTCACATGGCCACGCGTATATAGCCTCTGCCAGGGAAGTCCTACTCACTGCCTTCTCGTGGCGGGGGTGTTGTTTACGAAGTTGAGAGGACGAATAGCGAATGTCCGGTGCTTTAACCGGATTCCAAACTAATGGTGGACAGTTTTCTGAGGGCGTATGAACCAATCGTTGGTCACCGGCTTCCATGGGACTGCATCTCCTGCAGTTGCTCCACTGCCTTGTGGACCAGACCTTCAGGTCGAAGGCTCGGGGAGTGGCCCCCTAAGAAAACCACCTGCTTCGGTTTGGACACCCGGGCAGTATCACAGCCCTCACACATATCGAATGAGATCTGTGTGGCGCATATGTATCTGGTGCCTGCTTGTACCAATATCTATGTGTTAAAATAAATAAATAAACAATATTGAATTCATTAATATGACATGTGCCCAAACCTAACTGATCGACACTTTTAAATAGAACCAATCTATATAATAGAACATAACATTAACATCTATTCTCTTTTTGATTTTAATAAAATGCAGTTCCCTAAACTAATTATCATACATAGATATAAATTATTGTCAAAGATATTTTTTTCAAAAATAAATACAGATTTCTGTAGTTACAGTCGAAGGTAATAGAAAACACCAGTCTTTTTACATCGTTCATTAAATTATATGATACCTAAAATTATAGGAACTGGTATTGTATATATCTTTAGAATACTTGACTGTTTTGACCAGATAAGTGTGTTAGATACACTCAAAGAGTATTTATAGGTTATATGTCTTTGTAGAGAATTAGTTGGTAACAAAAAGATTATATGAATAACATCGTTAATCAGTATGAAATGCCTGTCTTCAGGTGATCTATGCTTACATTTTTATAAAAATATTTATATTGTAGGTCATTCTGTTGTGAAAGAAAGAAGTAACAAATTCCATCTGAACATAGTTAACATTTTTATGTAGTTTAATATTAGCGAAGACCATTAGTACATACTTTAGTGGAATTCAACCATATCGGGTATGAGGCGGTTATATACCTCTAGAAATGGAAGGTGGTTGTACAATATCGCGAATCGATTGAATTTAGACGTGCACACATTTAGATGATCTAAGGGTTAAGCGCTCACATAAGGGACCAAAGATCTTGGGTTGTATATCCCATGATATGTCCATGAGTGCATGCTGATTAGGAGTCTCGTACTAGAACAAAACCAGCCATTCAGTGCCTCCCATTATTCAATGATTGATCTAACCAAGATCGAGACATGATCCTATCATTAAGACATACTTTTCAGTTTCACTGAACATGTAGTTGATAAATTTATATTTTCATAGTTAAATATGGATAATCAATTATGAGATTTAGCATTTATGAAAAAATATAACTAGTACGAAATAATAACAAATAAGATATTATTAGAAGGGGTTTTGTGGAGATTTTAGTAATTTCAATATTTGAAATTATGAGTCAATTGAAGCTAGACTATCATGAAAAACGTGGAAGCACTGGACGGCTATTTCGTCTTAGTATGGGACTCCTCACCAGGACCTATCAGTCTCGCACGCGAGCGCTTAACCATTAGACCAGTGACCCGGCTGTTATCCAACGGTGTTAATGTGTAACTTCAACCAATCCACGAAATCGCGTCACTGTCCACCACTGTCTTCAGTGAGCTTCCAGGTTTTCCATGGTGATCTAGCTTCAATTGACTCATAATTTCATCTATTGAAACAGGATATTGTCATTTAATTTGAGTATAATTAATGGTTTTTAAGTAGTTGAGACAAAAAAATAATATTTACAGGTGATTTGTAAAGTGATTTACAAGTGAAACTTATTTACATTGATCAGATCAAACTTTTTAACCTCATTGATGATATTCTTTTAATGATACTTATCACTTCTCTGTATTTTTATTTTTCACTCGAAAAACTCATCGTTTTTCAACACAGGTCTTCTAGTTTAATTCGAGATGCTATCAGTAATAATACATTTTTGAAGCATTTAGAACAATCACAAATTGAAGAAATAGTAGCTTGTATGTATAAAAAACAAATACCTCATGGATGTTTTATTATACGTGAAGGTGAACCAGGCGATGCATTGTATGTTGTTTCAGGTAATGTTTTATTGATAGTGAAAAAGTTCCACCATTTTTTTTACTTCGTTTCCCTAATTTCTGTTTTACTTTCATAAATAGTTCCTTGTTAATTGGAATGACTCATCATTCTTTAAAATGATTTATTTAATAATAATAATAGAATTTTGTAGTGTCGCGTTGTTGATATTCACCATTACTCACAATCAATTGTTATTGGTGTATATGTGTCCTGAACTGAGTTTTACAATTTATCTTGTAGTCACAACCGAAAGATATTAGGTTTGAGTCTGTGTAAAGATCATTGTCGGGACCCAGGTAGATGGAGATGACATGATATAGTTGTACAGGATTCTACTGCTGGGCATTCTCGTATTTATTTAGAGTTTATCCTATTCTATAATCTTCAGAGAAGGAGAGAAAGTTTCTTCTGTTATGTGATAAATTAGATAACTACATTTTTTATTTCATACGATTTTCTCCGTTGATAGACTTAACTAAAGCAAGAACAATCAATATAACAGAATAACATGGACTTAGTTTATTTCACGGTTTCTTATCAAACCTTTATAAAGTAAACATAGTCCGAAAAGTCTAATGTCAAGTAGATTAAAAGCACTCAGTAGTGCTATCTCAGGATATCTCACTGACACACGACAGCAAGTCGATACACTGAAATCTTTCAAGGTGATTCACAAACAATCAAACTCCAATCTTTTGAAATTTGCCGAAGCCATAGCGATCAAACGTCTAAAACCAGATCTATGTATCCAAAACAAAGCCGTAATAGATCTTTCTTCGCCTTGGTAACATTACATCCTTTTATTTATTTACTGCGTCATTCATCGTTTTAATTCTTTTTGAAGTTTGATCACATCATTGTCATTTTCCTTCAATTCATAACTAACTGATTTCATTTCATATCTTTGTTTATTGTCATTGATCTGCTTACAGTTGCTTCATTACATAATCATCTAATGTTTATTAACTTGGTGATTTCTAATCACTATTTCAATGTTCTGGAAACAGTATTTTTATGACCTTATTAACTCTATCAGAATCTTCGCTACATTATGATACACACATTCATTTCTATTCATCTTCGTAATAATGAACGTATCAATATATGTAATAACGTTGTAAGCAGCTGATGAGAACCTAGCGAAACAAAGTAAATTTCATATGATTCTGCACCGATCTTCGATTTTTCTCTCTTTAAGATAAAGGGAATTGTATGTATGAGAATAATAGTGATATTCGTTAAGGTCACTTTACGTAATTTATATTATATTATGAAAGTTCCCATCAATGACGATTCATAAAAAGAGCGATAAGTATGGAAGAACTTATATGATAAACATTATCAATGTTTATAAGTTGAATATGTGAATATTCGAGAGTGAAAAATAAGAGAACGGAACCGGAATTATTTAAAATGAGATAATCATGATGTAGTTATGTAATCCATGAAATATTAAATAAACTGAATAGACTAAATAAGTGAATATCATATAATAACTGAGAATTAATAATTAGTGTCATAAATAAAAAAAACAGGAAAATGCCACATTAGTAGATAAAAGGTTTTACAGGCAATAAATAAATTTACCAACCACTTCCCTGAATTTTGAATGTTCGTTAATAACGCATTAGTATGCTAAGTTTTTTTCCTTGAACAATCTTAGAACTGTTTGTTGTGAGAAAAGTTGGAGTTATTTGAATCTCAATCACAGAAATTATTTCGAATATAATTTTTACATAGAATTAATTATCTTCTATATACTTGACACTCAAATTCTATGAAATTTTCCGTTCAAATCTTGACAAATATCTATATAGATTTAGTTTATTTTCCTTATCTTTTTTCTCTATATTTTTGTTATTAGATGGAATATTGGAAGTATACAAAGATAATGCATTACTTGGGCGAATGGAAGTGGGTCGAGCTTTTGGTGAATTAGCATTACTTTACAACTGTAAACGAACTGCATCTGTTCGAGGTGAGTATAACATAATGAGAAAGGAAAGTACTTCTATGCTGCTATTCTGACTATCAGTTAATCTTGTTTTCTACGAATATTCGTCAAGATTAGAACAAATAGTTTTCACATATAATCTTGTTTTCTGTTTAGTAATATCTACTGTAACTTGACAATAGGATGATCATCTATCAATAACGCTTTCATTCATATTTCGTCAAGAACTAAGCATTATGTTTTTGAAATTTTTAGAATTTTTTGATAATTTTAAGTAAAAAAAATCCTTATGAAACAAGAAAGCACTGAAGGATTGATTTGTTCTAAGTTATAATCTATATTCAACCCATATAGAAGTGATAACATGGCATCAAACATAAGACATTTCAAGTTCCATGATAAACTGATAATCATCGAATTAATTAATAGAAATTTAATGTTTCATATGTTAAATTTCAATGGATATACAAAAAATGGATTTCTATGGATACAATATCGTTACTAAACATTTTTTTCACAAATTATTTCACCATGACATAAAACTATTTTCCTTTTTAAATTTTGTCTATCTTTTCTATCGTAATTATCACCGTTTCTTTAGTTGTCTTCTCAACGTTTTTTATACGTGTCAAGAGGACAATTATTTCACATAATACTTAGTTATAAATAAATTACACTTTGTTCATTTAGTTATGAATCTATTGCCCTGTGAATTAATATTGTTAGGATTAGATAAAATAGGATAGTTTCTCCCTGTTTCATGATCAGTTCTCGCGGTTATCATAATCATTTAACCTTTTTCTATCGAAGTGTAAAAAAATATTTTTGTTATATTTCAATGAGTAGAAAAATAGTATTTCTGACATTTCGTGACTTCATGTGCATATGTGAATAAATGGTGAGTATTTTGAAAAATTTCATAATTCTGTAATCAGAGTTCTAATTTTACCAGATAGTGGAAATGATTTAGTGGTTTATAACAATATATTATTCAGTATGAAATAAATTATCAAAGTATGAAATTATAGAATAGTTTACATCTACTTTTTAGGATTGGTTGATCATATTTCATGAAATATTAATGTTATAGTGGCTAGCCCTATGTCGGGCCCACATAGCTTATTCTAGCGTCCGGACAGGCCAATTTATTCATTCTTCTTAAGTCACATTTTAACCTTGTTAATTATTCACTTCGCCTTTGCCTCTCTTCTCGTTGATTTGATTATAAATATTGAATAACGATTAATTCAAGTGAGTTGGCTCATATACCTTCTTCGCTGAGTGTCATTCCGTTTCACTTTTCTCACTTTCCTCTTCACCGCGTTTCTCTGATCGTTTGTCTAGACCAACGAATATATGAAATATACGCATTCAAAATATATTCTCGTATTTGACCTATTTCCGTTAATCATTGGCGTGAGTTAAGCAGATGATTATATACGAGGACTGACGTTATGTATAAGTCGATAGCGATAATCACGCGATCCAGTTAGAGTCGGATATTCGTGGGTCACTAAAATGTATTTTGTACTTTTTTAACCATCCAGATATTTATATACTCACTTATCACAGCTAGTTATACCCAACTACCCAAATCGAAGTAGACAGACGTGTAACAAATGAAAACTCACACAGGAAAAAAACAATTGTATTATGAAAAATTACACACTGAATTTGTAAAATATGGAAGCAATACATTAAACACACTATTTGCACATTTTCTTTGAGCTGTCTCTTACAAACTTAATCATTCTTCTATTCCTGTTGTTACTTCGACCACTCTCTGATTTTCTTTCTCCTCTTAGTTTTTCTCGTTTGCCAGTGAGAATCCCACTGGCGATTCCAGATACATACGACTTATACCTGTTCCCATAGGTAGTGCACACTGCAGTGGAGGGCTTCTCCGAACTCAATCAAATGATTGAAATTCGTTTATTTCAACCATTAAGTCATTCCTTCATCCACCTCTATTAGTGGAGTACACAAGCACTGTACTGAAAGTCTAAATTACTGTATATCAAAGTATATATATATACAAAATATCTATCATGTATTATGAATTTGTGAATAAAACTTAATCATGCTTAGTTATCATCTTGGGAGATGATACAAAACTGTTTTTTAATGTTTAATTTATCTTTCTTCAAAATATTAGCTGTAACCAATGCTTCAGCATGGACATTAGATCGACGTACATTTCAACAAATTATGATGTCTACATGTATACATAGACAGCAAGAAAATATGAAATTTTTAAAAAGGTAAATTAATTGTAAATATCGATAAATGAAGTACTTTTTTCTTAATCTTTAGATTGACGGATTCTGTTTTAATTTAAGCAAAATAACCATACACCAATTTCGTCTAAATTAATTAACTTATTAAGAGTATCACCAAATTTTATTCATCCTAATGAAAATATGTATTAGTTTAGGTATTTGTATATAATTGAATTAATAGTACTTTGAATGAATATTTGCTCTAGTTCGTATTTCACTAAAGTTTATCATTTTAAATTTATCTACTTTTTTTTAGTGGTCTTGTTGATCAAATTATGATTAGGATTTATAGTTGTACGTTATGCTTAGGAATTAGAGTTAGGGTTTTCATCACAAACCGATATCAACTATAATGCCAAAATGTTATTTAGTTATATTTATGGATGAGTTTCGTGCCAAAATTCAACACCTACTGTCTCAAATCTCATTGGTTCGTTCATATATTATAGTCTCATCGATTTCTTAGTTAATAATATTCGTATGTAGTTAGCTTCATTGATCTATATATATAATACTCCGACCCTTAAATTAATCAAGAGTTTATCTAAAGAATAATCACTGTCTGGTAAATAGTCAACATCAAGTTCATCGCATTTATTTTAATACAGTTGCGAATATTTATTTTATAATGGGAAATATAACTATTATTCAATCTAAGAGTAGTTTGTTCAATCTGGATGACTATTTCGGGTGTATACTTATACAACATTTCAGAATAGAAAAAAGTAATTGACCAGTAATCTTAATTTCTTTAGATTTAATCAACCGATGATTATGCTTGATCAGTACTTTTTAGATACAAATGAACTAATCAATTGGTAAAATTCTTTCCAATATTCTTTTATATAAATTATTCGACTAGTTTCACATGAATAAACAATTATTTAAGATACTGGATGGTTTATATAAAACTGACGAAAACTTAGTTACAACTAAATAATAATAAATTAATTTAAAGATCGAATATATTAGTTTATTTGGCATTGAATATAAATTAATTGTATTCAATATCAAATTATATTTGTTGTTTATAATTATCTATATGGAAAATCTCCTGAATTCATCAAGAAAAACAGATCCCCTCATATCAAATTATTTAAATATTTAATTTAATTACAAGATAGTTACTGACCGTATTAAATCAATAATTCGACATTTCTGTAAAATAAATTTATTTTTTGTCAACTTGTACATTATTGAATCAATACAAACTGCATTTATATATTGGTAGAAGTTGAAGCCAACTATTTTGTTGTTGTTGTTGTTGTTCAAATATTACAGTTCAATGATTTGCTGTTGTTTTTTTTATTAAAAAAAGACTTTTCTTTTAAACAATGTTTTCAATGATTAACTGAAATCAGCTAAACCATACAGAAAAACCCCCCACTGATAAACAGAAACCACTGAACCTTCTCTAGGAAAAGTTTTTCTTATTACTTCATATAAATGATTTAACATAGTAATTATATTCAAATTTTATTGTTTAATATGTGATATATTAAGTTAAGATTTTTTGTTGTTGCTTAAGTCATAATTAACTCAAAATATCTGGATAAATAAAAAAAAATTAATAAAATGAATTATTTATAGGCATTTCAATAACAATTTACACATTTATGTATTCTATTAGGTCGATCACATATTTACTATTCGTCAGGTTCTAAAACATAGGCATACAGTGGTGGTGTTTCTTGACTTAAAAGCAGCATTTGACTCAGTAGACCGATAGGTTCTGTTTCAGTGTTTGTCATTGAAGGGCGTACCTCAGAAGTACATAAACCTTGTGAGGGCTCTTTACTTGAACATTACTAGTCAAGTCAGAGCTTATGGCGAACTGTCATCTGCTTTTGCAACCTCAAGTGGTGTCCGTCAAGGCTGTCCACTTTTTCCATTTTCGTTTAGTTCCACCATAGACATACTAATGGAAATAACATTCTCGTCCACTGAATTCCCGGGCATTGATCTCCTTCCAGAAGGTCCACTTTTCGACTTAGAATACGCAGATGACATAGTTCTGTTTGGTGAAGACGCTGACAAAATGTAGTCTTTTGGTAGCACTAAGCAACAATGTCAGAGTGTTTGGAATGCACTTTTCTACCTCTAAATGCAAGTTGTTGCTTCAGGACTGATCCGCGTCAACACGTGAACTAAGGAAAGGGAGTGAAGTAGTCGAACGCGTTGACAACTCCACTTATCTTGGAATTCTGATAAACCCTAATGGGTTGGTGTCTGATGAAATCTCAGCACGGATTCGAAACGCTCGTTCGGATTTCGTCAACTTATGTCACCTATGGTGAAGGCGAGATATTCATCTATCAATTAAGGGGCGTGTATACTGCACGGCAGTTCGTTCTGTTTTAACTTACGGCTGCGAAACATGGTCGTTAGGAGTTGAAGATTCTCGTAAGCTACAAGTATTTTACCACAAATACATTATAAATTTTGCTGGAATCTGCTGGGGTCACAGAGTAAGTAATAGTGAGGAATCTAGGACACAGGTTTCGTCCTATTTGGGATTCATCAGCTGGATGTACCTGCATCCCAGAGTTGATGTTCACCCTGGGACTCGAACTGAGTACCGTTCGCTTCAAACGCCATCGCGTTATCCAATTAGCTACTGAGTCCTGATAGCCACTTACTTGTGCAAAGGTTCTGGGTTCGAGTTTCAGAGTGAACATTAACTCTGAGATGCAGGTGCATCCAGCTGACGATTCCCAAATAGGACGAAATGCGCGTCCTGAATTGCACTGCTAACCACTATCCATCTTTGCTCATAAAGCTTGTGAATTAAGGCAATATCGATGGAATCCGCACAGAATGCACATGTGCCAACAAGAGACTGATCAATTGCAGTCCTAAATAACAATGGGAAGATACAAGTAAACAATATCAAGTGAATTTACAAGTATTTCTCATTATTTGTCATGTAATTTTTATTAAACTTTTATACAATCAATCAAACAATAAGCTTTTTATACATTTTGCTTATTTTGAAATCAGATGAAGAAACATGTCAATCATTTTAATAATAATTAAACACGAAAAATGTATTCATCTGTTTATTACTTTTTTTAAAGATCGCTTTGCACCATATTAGTTAGAATATTATTTTCTACCTTACAAAGTAGTATTAACAATATACTAAGTGTATATTAACTCTCTGGATTAAAGTGAAGAGTCTATAACTAAGGGGATGAAACAGCTTTAAAATGCTCCCTGGTGTTTATATACTTTGATAGTTGAAATAAAGTTAAAATATGATTTATAGCCGTATCGTGTTACTTATTTGATGAAAATATTTGGAATAAATCATCAGTAGTACTTTTTAGTCAGAATAACCGTTAGCCCTCAAATATTCTATTTCTTAAGGCTTGATTAGTGAAACCTGTCAAATCAGTCTTTTTGTGAAACAACTTGATGAAATCAGTAGTTCTAAAAAACAATTAAATTATGTGAAAGGAGTGTCTAATAGGACGAATTTTTTGTTTTGAGTCAAAATTATGTATAAAAGTAATCTATCGGGTATGATAAAGAAATTCAGGTTTCTAATAACTGATTACTAAATAGTAACCGATATATTTGTCTAGCTCTTAGTGCTAATATAATTCTATCGACCACTAATCTATGTGACTCGATATCGGTTGCTCTATATTTAGGTACTGTCTGGTTGGATATAACGTCCCAGACTGTGAAATTGAGTGATGCTTTTTAGAGTTTGACAAGAAAAATCAGTTCTTTTAAAACTACAGACATGCCTTCTAAATAGGTGTCAGTGAGCGCGAAACCTAGTTCCAATGTTACTTCCCAACAACATCCACTTATCTAAAGCCAACCCTAGGTTTGCTCATTGATATCAGGAATATGATGTAAAACTATATGGCTTTTGAGCGTCTTAGTCTTGTATCAGCTGTATCGACGTGGAAGAGTTTAGTTTTCATTTTTATCAAAATTGTCTACAACTCATTAATGTTTTAAAAATGATCTACCAAAACTTTCTCTACGAAACTACTCATGTAAATCTACTGCTTAACTATCAAACATCAGTTTTATCTCATAGAATTCCAGTCCTTTTAATAGGTTTCTTTTTTATAGGTAGTTAGGAGGTATGATTTATCTATATGAGTTATCCAGCTTAGAGAACAAAACTCCATCAACAGTTATCTTGCACTAAAACTCTTTTTCAATAGGATTACATTGTATCCCTTCAAATTATGATATACTAAACGTAGAATATTTATTTGAGCAAATGCAAAGTAATCAATCACTTTTCTATGAACATTGTCCAATCGATTATAGTTTAAACCATAACATTTGTTAACAAGACATCGGTTCGTTTGAAATCCTTTCATTAGTTATCTACTCATCTGGTTTTTATTGTTTTCCCACTTCTGAAAATTAATTTTTAATAAATAGGTTAGCTTTAATTTTGATTAAGATTTCAATGTTTGCAAGTATTGTGTTCAGCTAAATTCAATACAATTTATATTTATCAAAACAAGTCACATGATTTTGTTTTTTTCCAAAAATTTGTTTTCATTCACCTAATTCATTGGTCAGAAAGCTTGATTATGCATATTCCTATTTATTTATTTATTTATCTATCTATCTATCTATCCATCTATCTATCTATCTATCTATCTATCTATCTATCTATCTATCTATCCATCTATCTATCTACCAAACTATCTATCAATCTATGTATCTATCTATCTATCTTTCTTTCTTTCTTTCTTTCTATCTACCTACCTAATCTATTACTTAGTGTTTTGTAAAAGTGACTTTCACACTGCATTCTTGCAATTTTTTTATTGAAGAAATGTAATACAGATATTATATATAAATGAGAAGCAAATTAATCTTGTAAATAAGTGGATTGGTATTAGCTATTCAAAAGATTGATTTATTCTTTTTCCATGTTATTGATTGAATTAATTCAAAACCAATCTCAAATTATAAATGGATTTCAGTAAAACAAATCGATA